ATAATCATCTATGAAATACCTATATTTCTCCATTTTGTAAAGTTGTTATTTTCACTAGTGAAAATAATACATTCGTGGTTTCTCTATATAGTGGGAATAAGAATAAAGGTATTTTAAAACATAATTTGATTGATATATAATTATATGATAAACAGAGTATCGTAAGAGTTCTTTCAACACTCGAAAAGACGAAATCCGTATCTCCGCGCGCCCATGTAATATCCTCTATATATCAAAGATCAATTAAGAATCACGGATTTTCCCGTCCACTCGATAGAGGGATTAGGTGAATAGTTTTTTAGAAGCGTCAACTATAACTATATGATAAACTCTTTAACTTTGCCACTATATCCATTAAAAACTCATCCCTTATTGGTTGCCAGGTATTTTTAGCTAGCAAGTACCCATTTCTTTTCGGAGATGACCTACTTAGTCAATTAAAACGTGCTGGTATATGTCATCCATTAAGACACTTGTGGTGTTCTCACAAAGATTAAAAGTTTTAGTTTTATAAATTCGTTTTTATTTGAAAATACAAGGGTAGTGAATAATATTTTATCAAATGGAATTCGATCAACCATCAAGACAAAATGGACTCTCAAGTTGGTTCCACTTGATAAAGAACAAAAGAAAACCATAGTCCACAAAAATTCAATGCGGTCGCGTTTTAGATTTTTCATATGTGGAAAATGAGGTGAATATCCATTCGCAACCCGTTTCCATCCATCGGTTTCAAGGTCGAATCGTACAGTATCTCCCATTCTTATAGTATAAAGGAATAGTAAAGAGTATGTTTTTGCTTATATTATGATACATTTTTATTTTTAAACAAGCCCAAAAGATTGAAAGGGATGCTGGTGAACCTTTAAGTGCATCCATAAGTCTCACTGTACGCACAGTCGAGGAATAACAATAAGGGAATCCAAGATAAAAGGGAAAAAGGAAAAAAGGTATAAGGAATATGAATTTATTTCTCTTGATTTTCAAGGAATAAGAAGAGTTATGTGACTAGATAGGATTGTAGGATTTCTCGTGACTTTTATTAACCATTAAACACACTTTATAATCAAGATTATCAGTAGAAGCCACATCTGCTATAGCTGTCTTTTTAGGATGCATGCCTGTAAAGTTTACAAGAAAATAAGTGTAAGTTTAAAGTTGGTATGTTAGATCCATTAGAGCTAGCTCTTGTTCGCCAGATGAAAACTGTTGAATAACTGTGCATCCATTTGATTCGACAACAGTCGGCAATTTTCTCTAAAATAGTTCGATGGGAAACGAAATAAGATCCGGGAGGGGGAGGAGAAGGTGAGAAACCGAAACAATATTGCAGGTTATTTACTGGTTCCTGTTATGGTTGAAGTTTCACCACTTCTAAGTCCATCATCCGACGATGGAAGCCCGTTTCAGCGGTCATTTGCAGAATTTTCGTGGWGGCCACGGTCGAAAGGTCAATGTATTTAAAGATAGCTTGCGAATTGAGGTACTGCATTTTCACAGCAGTCGTTGAACACTATATACTCCAATTTCYATTTTAATTCCCATTTTCACATAAGAGTCATCAACACCAACTTACACAATTCCGTTTTGTCGTTATTGACCATCCAGCAATTCAAGTTTTCTACAGAAAAAAACAGTTATTGAAGTAGGTTTCAGATCATTAATGTTGAAATATGTTTGAACTGCATGGGGACTACACTGGAAAACCTCCATACCATTTGTAAACGTATGAAAATATCTTGCAAAATTCACCTGTAAACTTTCTGTTACAAATGCATGAAATCGAGTCATCCTTGCGACGTCAAAATTTATCAGCACTTATTATTTAAGTTTTTGAGAATCTTATGTGCTCACATTGTGTATAGCAATGCAGACGTTGTTCAATACCTTTCTCAGCTTTGAGTAGTAATTTCCATCTGAAGGAAGCAGCTRTCCGACTGGTATTTCACGCTTGTCCAAGAAATACCATCGTAACTTCTTCTTTACCCTTAACTGGTAATTACACCATTTACTTTTTATCTTACCGCATCCCCATTTGCTTCGAATGCTGAAAAAAAAAGAAAACTTGGCGAGTAGGATAAAATGTCGTGAATAGAATTCTTTAAGTAAAAGATATATGCCCATCCTTCGAGTTTATATTTTACATCTGTTTAGTGTCCTACAACGAACTTTGGATTTTTAAAACTTTGCAATATTTTACTTTCCCATTCGACTTGAAAGATAAAAAAACGAGAAAAGCAAGAGAAAAACATTGTTTTTTAAAACTTTTTTATGGTAAATATAACTTACTATCTCCAGTCGTAGCCCCAGATTTCCCACAAAATGGGATCTTCCGACGAAATGTCTACGACAAATGCCTCGTCACCATCTCTTGACCATGATAGCAACTCGTCACAATGAGCGTACTTCTCTTTACATTTATACTTGTTCACGATGCTGTACGTGTATTTTCCGTGTGGCACTAGTTTCCAATAGCAGTTTTTATTGCTTTGCTTTACAATTGTGGTGTAAGGATTGCCATTCATTTTGTACCTCTCGTATCCTCGACTCCAATCCAGATCTTGTAGTTCGGAATCCACCCCAAAGGTCATAAGGCAATACAGCCCAGTCATTGAACGATCGTATTTGCCTAAATCCAACATCTTGGTCGAATAAGCGTCAATTGTGCTACTGACATCTGGATCAAAGTATGGAAGGACATTGCTATCGTAATCAACGGTGTAGAGCTTTTTGAATAGTAATTCTGTCGTTTGCCTGAAGGCCTTGCGGTGTTCTTTCAGTCCATTAACGTCATTTTGCCATTCTGGGGTGGACGGTGTCATCGATATAAGCTGTGTYAGGATCATGTCTCGKATTGTTGCCAGTCTTGCGTACAGCTCACAGTATTTGATACATTTTTTTGCATCAGTAGCTTTGTTATTYCTGAACATTTTTCGAATAACACTGGCMAGCTCTCCCATGAACTGCGAACCTTGCCTTATAGGGACACGATCTCCAAGTACTAGCATCTCATTGTTACTCAATGGTTTACCGGACTTTGCTGCTCCGTTTAAATAYGCTTTCGACTCTTTAAATGCTTGAACCAAGCCTTCTGCCTTTGCAGTGAGATCYGCMTCGCGATATTCTGCTAGWGCTTKATTTATCTGTTCTCTTACAATCTCAGCCATTGGTTTCGGCTTTGAACCTTTACCAAACAAGCCCAGAAGAGCAGAAACAAAACCCAGTCCCAAACTTATCAGCTGTCCTTTTGGTCCAAAATTACTGGCTATGGA